AAAAAGCATTATTATATGCAATTAATTGTAGTTTAAACGGATAACAACAAACACTGACCTTATAATTTTGTCAAAGAAACAAGGCGTTGAACAGATACTAACAAATTCAAAACTTTTTCCAGAGAAGACTCTAAGACCAGGTAACTCAGCGCATTGTTAGATGACTTCCTATTGTTAGGTAGTAAGCTACTGTTACCAATCAATCGAATTAAAATGATTAAAATCTTATTTTTAAAAAATATCTATGAAATGTTCTTTCATTGGGGTGTGTTCCTTCTCTGGTTGGTTTACCCTATATCGTCTTAATCTTAAAAGAAATTTCCGGAAGTGTTTCGCAGAACTATTTTACCAACTATTTAATTAAATTTTAACATTTTTAAAAATCTTATTCTTTACCCTTTTACGTTTATTATTTCTTCATTAATATACTAATCAATTTTTTTAGTACTTTAATTTAGGTTTTCTTTAAAGTAAAGTTCCTTTCTAAATTATAGTCAAGTTTTTTTAAAAGACTTATATTGCTCCGAGGGATCTACTCAATAATTTCGCTATTTCCAGAATGGAATCTGCTTGATCGAAACATATTATTCCTTGAAAATTAAAATGAGGAAAAAATTAACTTTTATTGTTTATCTAAGCTTATTCCATTTATAGCGGTATTAAGGTTAAGGATATGCGATGGAAGCCCCGTTTACTATTATACTATAAATGCATTAAATCATGTATCTTGAATAATTCATTTCAAGCAAATTATTTAATAATTTTAAGCAAATAAAGGTGTAAAAATAAACTCGATCGAAATATTCCGAAAGTATACCCTAAAATATATGTAGAATAAACTTTGAAATCGATATATAAAAAATACCTTTTCAAACAACTTCGAGTAGGACAGAAACGCTAACTTGCTTTAAGTAGTTGTCCTTGTAACTATTTAATTTTGATTCCTGGTGCTGGGGGACATTCCATTTTCACATTCGACTTTTGAAATTTCAACTGTAAACGGAATTTTTTTATGTCCTTAAATTAAAATGTTAAGGCTTGCAGCAAAAAAAAAATTGTACTGCATTGATTTTTTTACAAAGCAGTGAATTATTAATTTTTTCAATCTAAGAATCTGTGCCTCTAACTTATGTAAAATTTATTTTAATATCGAGTGAAATAATTTAATATGTTGTGTAACTAAGTGGATGAACCCAAGAAACTGAATCGAAAATATAAAAACTTCATTGATTTAAAAAAAAATATATAGATGATAATAAAAATGGACATGTTTTGAGCGTACAATAATAAAAGTCACAAGTTATTCAAGCCTGACAAGTCTTGAGAATGGGCGATTATATTTGAACGCTCGAAACTTGTCGACTTTTACTACCCTCTTCATATGTTTTGAAACCAGTTGACATTTTATCGTCAATTATACTGTTTTACAGTTGGGTCTTGATCATTATTTTGATAAGGATTTTACACTCGTTAAAGTAAACATATGCATTTTAATATTTTAACAGGATTCATGTGGTCTTTAAAAACGTAAGAGCATCAACACTATAAAAGTTATATTTAACTTAAAAATTAAAATTTTGAGNATTTTACACTCGTTAAAGTAAATATATGCATTTTAATATTTTAACAGGATTCATGTGGTCTTTAAAAACGTAAGAGCATCAATACTACAAAAGTTATATTTAACTTAAAAATTAAAATTTTGAGACCAGATATTTTGAGTTAATGAAATTAAATATTTTATCTTTTAAGTTTTTGTGCCCCCATTTCAGTATCTTAAGGATCTTACGAGCTCTGTTTAAAATAGAGTATCAGATATATATAAGGAAACAAAAATAATCATAGTAGCAGTATTTGGTGGTAAATGTAGCTTATCGTAATTGAAGAATATGCTGTGCGACACTTTATGGTGAATTTGCGAACATAAGTTTCAGAATGTATCGAAGCGGATGCTATTTGCTAATCATCTTTATCCAAAGAAAACCCTGTAACCTAAATATCCAGCAGAGTGAAGCGATTTTTTAAACAATGAATCTGATATACATNCCATCGGTTACCATGGACACATTACTGAGTCCGCAGACGGTTCACTATAGCGGGGTTCGACTGTATTTCAATATCTTATTCTTAAACATAACATATTTCAATGTTTTTAAAATGCCACTAAATATTCAGCTATTCCTTGAGTTATATAAAAAAGAAATATCATAAATTATAGAAAACTCTGTGAATGTGCATTAGAATTACTATACAATCTACATTTTATATTTCAAACATTTTTTGTCCCTTCAAACGTTTTTGCCTAGAAGACTCGATTAAAGCTGTAAAAATGATAATCCCTAAAATTTTGTATATAGCTAAGGATTTTACACTCGTTAAAATTTTGTATATGATAAGGATTTTACACTCGTTATCACTAAAACTAATTTAAAATATCATTAACAAATGCTTTTCTTTATATATAAAGTGGCACTAAAATGTAAAATTTTCGATTTAGTTTAATTATAAAGCTACTTTAACATTTTGACTTTTCTATTAATTGATTGATCATGATCCTAAATGTATTCCCTAAAAAACATGAAGACACATTGAAAAGAATTTTTCTTTTATAGTAACAGGAAAAAAGAATATATTTATTACATAATTTTACAGAATAATACAAGTTGTCACTGTCATGTACAATCCATTAAAGAATTTAATTTTCTTTTTTACATATCCTCGTCTGAATAAACAAATATATCATCGGTAGCTTTGGAATGTTATTAAATATATTAATGCTTTTCATATATAAATTAAAAGATATGTTAATAACAGGTGATAACAAGCCCGAATTTGTTCTTTTGTTGCCTTTGCTTGTGAACAGTGCCTTGGAGAAATAAAAATCATATTTAGTCAATCCAACAAAAGATCTATTGCATTACAATTATAATAAAATATCACTCTTTGGTATTTAAATAAATACCATAATTTATTTGATATTATATCTCTATCATGTCCACCACACGCTTTATTAACAAAAGTGCACGGCACCTTTTATATAATTTTTCTTTGATACATAGGTCAAAATAAAGCCTCTAAAATTCACAGTGCCTCAATTTAACCATTCCTGGTTGAATATTCATGATCCACATTTCATTCGGAAGACTTTTCAGGTAAATGTTCGAGAGAGAATGATATCTACTCCTGGGCAAAACCTTCAGTTTCTTCAATTGCATAGGTTAGTTTTTCAACCAATTGTTCATAACTCTTGTAAGGAGGGAGATCTAATCTGTTGAAGCATGTGTGACTTCGAGGAAGCCACGTTTCTTTGCCTACTTTTTCTATACAGAACCTTTGAGGACCATTGCTTCCTATAAATACAAGAATATAGGTAATTTAATTTAAAGCAATAATAATTGCATTACTATTCAAATATTACTTTTTAAATTTAAAAAAAAAAGCTGCAGGCATACATTTTCAAAAGTTTTTCCTTCACTCACAAATTACAAAATACAATGTGAAGAAAATTACAAAATACAATTTCTTATCAGTTTTAATATAAGTGATATTATGTATATAATAAATTGACAATTTGTTTCGTAAAAAAAAAAAAAACATTTTAACAGAAAATAACTAAACGTTTTCAGTGCTCAGTTAAAAAAAAAATAATTAAAGATTAAGTATTGTAAATTATTCCTTAAAACAAGCTTCATGCTTAAAAAACTTATTTTCCATACAGGTTATTTTTAGTTATTAATTGTTCATCTGTTTTTCCTTAATTAAAAAAAAAACATTTTATATTTGTGTTATCTAACAACATTTTTATAAGAAACTTGTATTAAAATAAAGGGGAAAAATCATAATATTACTTCATGCAAAGAGGTGTTGATAAATTGTTAATATTTTCTTAAAATGCCGAACTATTTGCATGTTGCTTAAATGATCAAAGAATGATATATAAGCATTCAGTGAACATGTTAAAAAAATTAATAAAAAATGAAATACTCTGGAATGAAATAAATTGTATGAGGAAATTACCCATCAATTCAGCAAATCCACCAACCGGTACTCGACAAGTACCAGTAACAAATTGTAACAATCTTGCACGTTTTTCATTATCCATCTCTCTAACAAACTGCCAAAACCAAATGATTTGCTTTCCAGTCCTAGTGTAATGCCTATAAATTGTATTTCGTTGCCAATCTTCAATATCAATTTCTTGCATGCCACATAGCATTAACTGCAAAAATAACATATTTATGTATATCAATTTCTTTTTTAAAATGTATAAACAGCAAACAAGCAATATAAAAAATAAATATTGAACAATTAAAATTATAATAGGTTTGAAATTAAGCATTAGTTAAAATACATTGATTGCGTTAATGATACATTGATTGTGCAAAGAAAAGCTAAAATTTTTCAAAAGAAGAAGAAAAATTTTTTTTGAAAAATTCATTATTGTTAAAAAGAAATTATTGCTTACAAATTGTAAATTCAATAGATTCAAAAAATGTTATACCACAAGAAAGGTCTATCATACAATGCAACTTTTATTTTAAGTCTCAATCCAATCTTTCTGGCGCATACATTTGTGCTCAATAACTACTTTTTGTCCGATTAGTAATTTCAAATAAAAAATATGTGCACACTTACTGAAGTCAATGCATTCAGAGAAAGTTAAAGTATTAAAAATTTATTTGAGTTTATGCATCAGCACATAAGTTTATTTGAACATTTTTTTAATATCATTAAAAGAGGTATTTGTGAAAAACAATTTTGTTTACAAAAACCAGATGTTGCTTTATAATCCACCATTGAAGTTCTCTAGTTAAATAGACACTTGTGTATAAGCAAATTAATACATTACATTTTTTAATTTTCTCTTGCCTTTTAGAATTATGCCGTACTATAAGGCATAACCTGAAATAAGTAACAAAGTTTCATCGAAATATTTTTTATAATTTTTTAATAGATCCAACGTTTTTTAACAGACATGCTAAAAATGTAATTTCTGCATGAGGAGTTAAAAAATGACTTTCTTATATACAAAATATGCAAAATTAAATAAATTTGCATCTGGCAGTGAATGAAATATTTGTTAAAGTGGTGAAATTTTTACATAAAAAATGAACAACTATTAAAGTTTCTGGCTTTGTGAGGCATCAAATTAACATTTTTTTTAAAAACTAAGATTATTGCAACAGCCGAAGATATCTTAAAAGGAGATGCATTTGGTTTGACATCCTCCTAGAATGCCCAAAGAAAAAAATATCTTTTGTGATTAAATTGTCTCAGAGTGAAAAAAAAGCAAGAGGGAGGCCTGGTTTTACTTTTCATGATTTTGAGTGAGCTTTATTAGAGAAATAAGCTTGATTACCAAGGACTGTGGAGAGATATGTAGAATTACAGAACACTTAGGTGCCAAACAAAAGTACTCAAAGGATAAGTAAGTAAATAAACAGGATATTGTTATTTGCAGCCAATTATCACATTGAATCATTTTACTGAAAACTAGAATATATTAATGTTTATATTAGTTATGAACTAATAGTGAGAGTTAAGTACATTGCTTTGAAAAAAAATATCGAATTTTTTGAGTAAAAAATTTTTTCAGGCACACTACATACAAGACACTGAATAATTTCTTACTTCAAGCTCTCTTTCATCAAAATAGTGCAACCATTCCAAAGGTAATACTTCATTGAAACCATCTAGAAATGACTTAGTTTGCTCTTCTTGACCTCTTGAAAATCGCCAATCAGTCATGAGTCTGAAGTAAATTATTATTAATGTAAATGCTTAATCTGGTTTAATAAACAATCTCAAAAGCTTCTAAAACATACCTCAAATATTCATCTTTGTTTTCTTCATTAACTCTGATTTCTCCACCTCCTGGCTTTAGTTCATGTGATTGAATCTGTCCCAAAATTTCAAAATCTACACTGAAATACAATTCTAAGCCACATTCTTCTATATTGTTTTCCCTAATAAATAAGGAATGTTTTTAATACCAATATTATTAAAATTTTTAAATAATATTAACCTTCATATAAGAAACATAACTCGTTTACTAGCTGAGTTCCAACGGCACATAGCAATTATTTTTATCACTCTTATTGTAATCATTATTTCAATTAATTTTAATTATATGATCAACATAATTAAAATTAAATTACACGATATTAACTAATTATATTATCCAGGAAAATAGTTTGATGCTAGAAGAAATTTACAATTTGTTGAAGATGCCTTTTGGTGTATTTTGACATATATTATTCCAGTCTGATGTAGGCTAGCAATTATTAAACAAAAATCATAAATTGCTTAATAAAGAATCAAATTATAATAAATAAAAATGCTTTATTTCAGAAATTATGTGAAATCATATGGAACTCCAAAGTAAAAAAAATAATTCATACATATAAATTAATAAATTTAGAAAATTGCCCATTAGAATTAATAAATTAATAAATTTAGAAAATTGTCCAATTTAGAAGATTGGCCAAAAGGCAAAAAAGCTGAATTTCCACGCGAGTAAATTTTAGAGTGTGCAATTGTTGATTAATAAATTCCAGACAATTTAAGATAATAAATAACAATGTGTTGACATAAAATCGTGTACTAATTTGGTATATAAATGATTACATCGATACTTAACATTTAGTAAAAAGTAAAATTACCAATTGAAAAAATAAAGCTAGAAAATTATATTTTTCTTCAGTTCACACAAGAGACAATTATTACTTGAGAAACTGCCTGGTTTAGCAAATTAATACTGAGAACATACATTAATATTCCATTTCTTTTAATAAATACTGTTACGTGATTTATAGCAAATATATCAGTAACATGACTTTTAAAATTATTTAGAAAAGAAAATAAACTTTTACAATTGGAATCATTATGTTCATATTATAATCTAGCTAGAGCCTGTGAAACATATCAATAACAGTAAAGTTGAAACATATAGTAGCTAGCCCCTCAACCTACAAAAATTGAAAAATTACATGATAAACAGCAACTGGTTACACAATTATTTTTCATTTGATATGAAATTTGCATTTTATAGCATAAATAACAGTAACATTACTTTTTAAATTTTGGAGCTGAGTTAATTAACTCTTTTTCCAAAAAAAAAAAAAAAAAACTTAATCGCTTTTGAAGTGATTGCTTTTGTTTGATATATCTTTAAGATAGCTGCTTTTTCTTCTTCTTTTTTTTAAATTTCCGACTGCTGCAAATGCTTCATGTTTCAAAAAATAAACAAAAAATCCTCTAACAAGGTCAAATTGCTTGAAATACAGCTTGTGAATGAGGGGTGCTCCAGTTTGGAAAAGTTTTATATATTCTTGTGATAATAGCAAAACTGACACAAACAGATCAGTGATTAATTTAGTTGTTAGCCCCTCTTCGAACATCCTTTGACAAATCCTATTTTTTCTTTCTTTACCTGCCTGTGTGGTATTCTTCTTTCCAAGCACAGAATGTAAGTTTTGAATGTATTCTCTTCCAGCTCTCTGATGTTGTAATGCCTATATATACTAATAATCGTCGATTGTAAAACAGTTACCTTTATAGTAACTAATTCAGGAAAAAAACGTACTTCTTAATCGCGATAATTGATTTTAAAATCGCGTGAGCACAAATAGCGATCTTGGATTCTAAAATCACGTGAATATGAATCACGATAATGGATTTTGAAATCACGTGAATATCAAACTCGATATTCGATTTTAGAGATGAGAGAATACAAACTTCGATATAGAATTTTTAAATTACGTAAATACAAATCATGATGCATAATTTTTAGATCGCGCAAATACGAATCATGATTCGTAATTTTCAGATAGCAGAAATACGAATCATGATGCATAATTTGCCTAAATATGAATCCCAATGCCTTATTTTTAAATCATGTATAAATACGAAAATCTACATTTGATATTATAACCGTATGAACGAATCATGACATTGGATTTTGAACTTGCGTCAATATGAATTACTAAATAAGTTTTCAAAAACGCATAAATACAAATCGCAATATCGGATTTTTAAATCTCGAAAATAAGAATCGCAATGTAGATGTTTAAATCGTATTAATAAGAATCACGATGTATGATATTTAAATCGCGTAAATAAGAATCGCAATGCGCAACTTTTAAATCAAGTAAATGCGAAAAGCTATGTTTGATATTAAAATTGCGTGAATAAGAATTGAAATATTAGCAGATTCTGGGCTTGGGACAACTAAAAGGTTTGTTTGAAGAAGCGCCGTCTGAATTACGAAAATACGAGCTATCTGGTAGGTGGGTAAAAATGCAAAAAATCTTATCTTCGATGCGTAAAAGCAGAGAAAATAGCTAAAATAAGTAAAAATACGGAAGGGTTGACAGCTATGTAGTTTGAATTTTCTGTTTATCTTTGAAAATTCGAAATATAATTAATCTATTTCAACGACAGAATTTTCTAAAAAAGCAGAAATATATTTTAGAGAATCTGAGTTTTTGATAAAAAGGCTGAAATTCGAGAGAGAAAAGCAAAAAAGCGGAAAAATATCATCCCTGCATAAGGCACCTTTGTCCATCAAGAAATCAAAAATGCGAGTGTCATGTGTACGTTGAAATAGTTTTCACCAAGGAAAGGAAAGAAATCCATGTATTGGCTATTAATTGACTAAATTTAATGCCAAGGCTCTTTTTCTTAGCCTTGCGCATTCAAATGTGTTGGCGGAAAAGAATGAGGAAGAAATAATAATAATGAATTTTAATAAATCTAAAACAATAGCAACCATATAACGGTTTTGTGAATTTCGTGCTAACGTGTTAGGCAGATGTAAAGGGAATCTCTAAAAATAGATTTTATTTCGCACTCAATTCAAGGTTATGGTATAAAAAGATTACTGATTATATTAATGATTTTTATCTATTGAAAGAAAATAATTTACTTTTTAAATGTTAGGAAATGTGTTATTCTTATTTCAGCATGACATATATAAATACTTTTTTATTCTTGATAAAAAAAATACTACAGATTTTCTTTGAATGAAAAAAAAATTGCTTGAATCTGAAAGAAGTAAACTTACCAGGAAGTAAAACTTCCAGACTATCAAGAGTAAAACGGGAGGGGGGGGGGGAAATAAAACTGAAACACCAAGATCTTTTTTTCAAGTCACTGCATTATCAATATAAAATTCAGCGAAACTTTGAATATCCTTTTTCTCATGAATGCCTTTTAACCAAGGTTCAATTAGCATTATTTTTTCACAATTTCTTGGCATCACAAGACACTTATCATTTCCCAGTAAAAGCTATAGAGTATTATAAACTGACTCTCAAGAAATTGCACCAAAGATAAAAAGAGATAAAGGCTTTGTGTAACAAAAATATGACACAAAGCTGCTGTTGTACAACTAAAGTTATAATTAAATTCGACATAACTGGGTGATAGATCACAAAATACTAATTTACTGAATACTAATTACAAAATACTAAACTACTCCAAATTTGTGGATTAAAGATGGTGCATCATAAATTAATATAAGGTTTAGGCATTTGTGTATAAATCTCAAAAACCTTAACTTATACCATCTTCAATCCAAAATTTTTTGAAGGGCGGCTGTTGATGTGATGGTATATGATAGAATTCAGTTTTGCATTGACAATGGCTTAAAAATTTTTTTATTTTATGTTTTAAAAAAATATTTTAGTTCTCACGTTATTATTGTTAGTGTAGGGTCCAGCCAATAGCAACATGACCTACAGCTTCCCCTGTTCACCTTGTTGCTGTAAGGAAATTCGACACTTTTTTTGTTCAAAAGTATGCATTATTGTTGTTGGCTGCTAATGAGTTACAACTCTTTTTATTATTTAAACCTCTTCATAATTATATATAATATATATATCCCCTCTAAGTCATTTTTGTCAGCAGCTTTTGCATGTGTTCACTGGATTATACTGGTTTTTTTTATAATTTTTAAAAACATTCTAACAAAAATTTCTAAATACAGTGCCTGCCGCTAATAAAATCACTGGATAATAAAATCAGCCGCTTTATAAAATATAATCGGCAAGAACCGAATCGTTACAATATTAATACATGTCAAAAACATCCTTTAATAAAATCAATGCCGCCGCTTTTTAAAATCAAATTTTTGACTACGTAATAAATCAAAAGTGCAATATTTCAGCTTTTTTTTGTTCTTATTTATAAAATTTTATTTTTTCGAAGTTTAAAGATTTTTTTAGAAGAAGCAACAGTTACTCACAAACCTGTGAAACAGGTGTGGTTAGCACTTTCCTGTGATATACATAGTATAAGAGTTAAGAAAAATGTGAGTGGTAAGCAGAGAGTTCATAGAAATCAATTTATCAATGTCAATTTCTTGACTTGAACGAAGTTTGGAGAAACCTATCTCACTCAACAGGGGGTCGAATTCTTAACGTACTTTTTATTGAATGAACCATAGAAGGGAGAGATGTTTCTTTTGTTATCTATCTTAACAGAGAACATGAATAGATTTCCAAAAACTGTGCGCATGCTCCATATTATTTAAGTCGCTTAAGTAAATTATAGTTAGAGCACATATCATTTTTAAGTTTGTTTGGTGTTAAATTTTATCAGCATGCCGAAAAGGAAGGATTTGAATCTTAAAGTTAAATTCGAAGTGTTGCAAAACTATGATAAGCTTCTTAATTGTAGTCAACGTGAAGCTTCAATTAAATTAGGGATTTCCCAAACTGCTCTTTTAAACATTCTGAAACAAAGGATAACTATTTCCGAGGAAATAAAAAAGAATGGAAATCTGTTAAGAAAGCGTAAGCGTGAAGGAAAATCGGAGAAAATTGAAATGGCTCAGTTAGAATGGTTCAAAAATGCACGCGAGCGAAGAATTCCAATTTCCGGAGGAATTTTATTTCACAAAGCACAGGACTTTGCTAACTTATTTGGTGATTCTGATTTCAAAACTACAGATGGGTGGCTAAGCCGATGGAAAGACAGCAACAACATTGTCTATTGTAAATTGCATGGTGAAAAGCAAGATGCTGATTTTAGCTCTGCCACCGATTGGGTAAACAACGTGCGGCCAACACTCATCAAAGACTATAAACCAGCGAAAATTTTCAACACACACTGCGGTTTAAAAATGAATCGACTGGTGGATGTAAAAAAAAAAGGAAAAAATAACCATGCTGCTAACATGCAACATGACAGGAACTGTGGGGAAAAAAACTTTAGTGATAGGAAAGAGTTTAAAAGGAGTAAAACACCTGCCAGTTAAGCCAACCAGTGTGCCAGCAGCTATAACGCATGGATGACATCCAGCGTCTTCACAAAATTTCTTCTTGAATGGGACAAGGAGTAGTAAAATGAAAAGGTTGTCTTACTCGCAGACAATTGTGCTACACACCCTGCTGATGAGGACTTGCGTTTGAAAAACATTAAATTAGTGTTTTTGCCACCCAACACTACAGCTATTATTCAACCCCTTGATCAGGGAATCATAAGATCATTCAAGACATAGACACTCAAGACATCATTAGTGACATAGACTGTGACTGCTCTTCAGAACTCTTAACTGTAAACAAACTATCAAAATCCCTTACTATTTTGGAATCAATGATTCGCAACTCGTGGGACATTGCTTCAACAAAATAATATCAAATTGCTTAAAAAGTGTGGATTAAGCACTGGCGATGAAGCTGATAACTTTTCGAAGAAATGCTTAGCAATGAAGAAAATGAAATGGGCGAGAATTTTTCACTTTATGTAGCTATTGACGATAACTTGCAAACATCAGGAGAAAAATCTGATTCTGAAATTGTTACAGGCACCAGTATTGCTAAGTTATTTCCAATCAAGAAATGGAGGAATCAGACTCAGAAGATGAAATAAACTCATCAGTGCCATCTTCAATGGAAGTCAGAAAAGCACTTAATGTATTGCTGCAAGCTTTAGAACAAAGAGGAGGAAATATTGAAAACTATAAAAACTTCCATAAACTCTCAAACGACGTTGAAAAGTTAATTTTAAATACTGCAACTCAAGCAACCATTGATCAGTTTTTTGCAAAAATTTTGTAAATTTAATCTTATGTAGGGTTTTTTACTTTATTAAAATAATTAAATGAGTTAAAATAAAGCATTAACGTTGTCATTATTTTAGCTTTTAAAGTGTGTGCATTTAGAATATATCGTAAATTTTTTTTTCTTCCCTCAAATGTTGAATCGCCTTTTAATAAAATCAAAAGAGCATAAAACGAAAGTGATTTTAATAAACGGCGGGCACTGTACTAATTCATAATATATATATATACATATGTAATATAGAATTTCTCATGTGAGTCTTTCTATATTAACTGGTAAGCTTAAAACATATGTTTCTTATCAAGTTTAAGATGTAGAAGTCGGTCTCTCACAAAGAGCCATAAAAAGTCAAGATGAACCAGATAAGGCCAGATAAAAGATTACTTTCTGAAGTTAATGGGCAATAATTCGTTGATAAAGTAAGCATTAAGAGAGTCCCAGAAACTTCCCACCGCCAGAGTGGCGATATCCTTTTAGCGAATCAAAATCTCTAAATTTTATTAATTGTATGACGTTTCATTGAGATAAGAAGATCCTTGCAGCCACTCCCCTTCAGAATCTCACTTTAAAAGCTCAGGACAGGCAAAATTGCATGTCTTTTTCATATTTTCAATGGCTAGATAAACCTGGGCCAAATCCAAACAATCCCTGCAAAGGGGGAAACCTGATGTAAATGTTTGCAATACTCCATCTAACGGAATAAAATGCTTTTTTAACAGAAGCCGCCTAAGTCTCTTCAATTATCTAGCCTTGAAAGACATAACATTACATATATAAATATATATATATATATATATATTATATACTGACAAAAATATGCAAAATATAGCTTAAAGTATTTACGAATAAAATCAGTGACAAATTGTAAGAAGTTTTGCTTTCATTCATAGATAGAAGAATAAATGAATAACTACAGAGAGAGAAACTTACTTTATCCAAACAAGAGAGTTGTAGAATTCAGGATCTATGGATTCAATATCTTTCATCGTTAATTTTTTACCTAACATTCGTTTATAAAATGGTAATGTAAATCCACTGTAAATAAACTTTCCGTGAAACAATGCCTAGACAAATAAAAATTAACTTATAATTCATTGTACTTTTTTTTGTTGATTTTTTAGTTAAATACATAAATAATAACAAAAGGATTTTACTGCAGCTATCAAAGCAGACAAACATTACAGTAGAGAATATATATTTAAAATTAGATAATCAAATCGTGTGTTAAGTCAAAAAATATGTGTAAACACTATAAACACTAAGTATCAGCAAGTTTGAATTTAAAAAAATTTCTATTTATCTGTTTTTCATTGAATAATAAAGGGGGGGGGGATCTGTTCCAAATGTAGTGGTTAAAATAATTTAAAATCAATTTTTTTAGAAAAAAGCAGAATGTTCTAATAGTAATTTTTTCTTTACAAATCTAATATTTTCTTAAATTGAAATTAAACACTTAAATACTTTGAAGAATCACTTTTAGAGAATGAAAGGGGCAGTTATTTGAACAGAAAAATTTCAACTGTTAAAATAGCAAAGTGAAGAATAAAATTATGTAAGCAAACCTAGATGAAAATTAATCAAGGACATAATAAAATATCTCAAAAACTTCTTGGAACAATGATTGAGTGTTATTACAGTATATTACCACACAATAAACAAATGAGATAAAAGATATAATAATGTAAGAGATATAATGAAAATATTTCTAATAAGCTAAAATAATGTCACATTGGTTTAAAATATAAAAGTAATTGTAACTCCTTCTATCTCTTTACTTTTCACAATAATAAATTTTCTTTGAAGTAGGTAGGTATTGAGGAAATATTTTGAATAGAAAAGAATGCTGATAAAAAAGATTTTTATTTATTAATAACTATTAAAATATAAAGATAAAAAATAACTATGAATATGAATGAACTAGTAACTATGTGAAATGAAATTTTTATTTTAATTGCAACATAAATGCATTCTTACAGCGATCTAAAAAAATTAAAAAAACAAGGCATATTTACCATTGCAATGAATCTACCTATAAATCTAAAATACAAAAGATGATCAGGATTAACAGATGAAGCTGGATTAATTTGAAGACTATAGTTGTTTTTTCCTGCATATTCAAATAGACAATACATAGGGTTTAGGACTTCATGTGACAAGAGGAAAAACCATTCTCTGGAAAATGAAACAAAAAATATACTTAAGAAACTTTCTGAATAAGGAATAAAACAGAAATTAAACTGAAACCATATTTGACCCTTACAGCAGATGTATTTGCTTTTTAACTACTGACAAATGAATACTATGATGTACTTTTTTATCCTATTTCCTAGGATTTAATTTGAACTTAAGTAACAAATTAATGAAATGTTTTAATTTTTAAAGGAAGCATTTTGAAAGATAATAATGGTAGAATTGAAAAACGTAGCGAAATGAAAACAATAAACATTTTAAAATTATTCAGGAGTGATTTTGTTGACAAATACCAAATGTCTATGTAAACTTTTGTTATATAATGAAAATTTCATAAATTTGTTAAGTACTTATCTGAAAAAAACACATGGAACTGTACTTTATTAAATGATAAAGATGGTAATAAAAGTCGACATGTTTCAAGTGCTCAAAAATAGGTGCCGATTCAGACTTGCCAGGCATGAATGAAGAAAACAAATGTGATTTGAAACAGAAAAAGTGAAATGGCCAGCAAAAAATGAGGGTGAAAAACAAAACTAGAAAAATAACAGTAACGAAGAGTGGAACAGAAAAATAAAACAAAACCAGAAAAACTGTTAAAGCCAAGAGAGGCAAAATGCATTTCCGCATTATATGGAGCGAAAATGCTTCAAATCACTTTTGTTTTCCTCATTCATGCCTGGATGGGTTTTTTGAGCGTGTGACCTACTTTTGTATATGTAGGGCCTATTTTTGAGCGTGTGAAACATGCCAACTTATGTTACTATCTTCATATTTTTTTAAATGCCAAAGAAATTTTTAATCAAGTACATATTACTAATTCAGTATCTTTGAATTATTTATGAATTAGTTTGATGTAAAAATGTCCCTTATGAAAAAGTATGATATATTACTATAGTATAGTGACCAAAGCAAATAAATAGAATATGCTAAATGGAATAGTTTATCAGCTCAAGAATGTATGTCATTAAGAAGTAGGAAAAATATATCATAATGAAAGCTACGCTTGCTATGCTCAACGCAACTTTATTTATAGATAAGAGAAAATGCAACACCATAAAAAATTTTTTTATATAGCATTAAACTCTTTGCAAATTTTAAAAGGTCATTATCAAAGCTTTCAGAAATGAGCCTGAATGAGAATTAAATATCGCAATAAAAAGGATTAGCTCTTACCAGCTAACCTTCCCCGGTAAGAGCTCTTACCAGGGAGGAATGTAATAAGACAGTACAAATTATGAAAATATTTTTTTCTAAAAACAATTAAGCATATTTTATTTTTAAGATTATATAAACATATTTGACATGAGATGAAAATATTCAAATTGTTATTTATGTATTTATTTTACAAAAAATAAATATTTTAATATTTTTTCAGAGCAGTTATGTAAAGATAAATATTTCCTCTTAATTGTGCAGTATGTATCAAATAGAGGGAAACAATTTTATGTATAAAAAATAGTCAAACAAAAGAAATTTTAAATAAATCAAGCATTTCTAGAAAAAATTCTTTACAAAAACATGGCATTGAATTTGGTCCCAAAAGCTTCGGGAAGCAATGAATTAGGGTTATTGTTATATTTCCTAAGAGTAGGTAAGAGGAAATGTATATATAAAATAAAGCAATATCTGAAATGAGTAGGATAAAACATATAAATACCTGGCAATTCCACCATAATCTAATCCTTCTTCTCCTCTGAATGTAATGAAGAGACGTCTTCTTAATTCATGAGGAGGAACTCTCATAATCTGTAGAAAAATTATAAGAATAAAAAATATGGAAACATACAGGTTAAACAAAAAAAAAAGGGAACCCATATGAATGATGGTTAACTTAATATTTATCATCATTTTAACTGCATGAATAAATCACTTAGTAGGGTAAAAAAGCTTGTACCATGGTTTTGAGAATATTTTGAAAAAACAACAGCAGAAATAAAAATTGTCTAAAATGATGGCTGAAAAATAGAATAATTATAAAAACAGTTTAAGAAAGCTTATCATAAGAACATAATTTCTAAGTTACGAAAATAAAAACAAATTTTTACTTGAGAAAAGGAATCTTCAAAAATGTTTTGTCTTGAAACTGTGATTTTGATGTGACTTGGTAAGGCATTACACTAGAAAAGTAAAAGAAACTGTTACAAAAATTTTAAAATAAATTTATTCACAATTTTTTTTCCTTCACATTTTGAGGCTCTTTTTTTTGAAAAATTTAACAAAAATTTACTTTTAATTGATATTAAATTTTATATACTTTCAAGGTAAACTTTGAAATATATATTCTAAATATTACACAAGATATTCGTTAATAAACATATGTTTGAATTAAATTTTACAATTATATCATTAAACTTATATTGACAATGTTATACTCGCAAGATGTTATAAAAAAATCTCAAATTTAAGTCAAATTATTAAAATTATGTAATCAGATTATTTTCAAATTAAAAACAGCAAATCAACTGATTAGAATTGGTAAAAAATGACAAGAGTTAACTCACGTGGCACAAGTATCGGAACTGTGTGAGTTTCCATTTAAAATTTCTTTCATAGGCTACAGGCACTCCATAAGCTCCCTTTGGACTAAAAACAAAACAATAAGATGATTTATTTTATATATTATTTTAAAATATTTATTTGACAAGAGATTAGTTCAATTTTTAGGTTACAGTAACTTACGCACAATTATATAAAAAATTATTAAAATTTACATAATATATTAAATTTAGTGGAAGCTTTGCATTTAAAGTTGTTGAACAAATAATAAAAATAGGTTATCCATACCCTTTAGCAGCATAAGGCTGTCTTGGATCATTAAAAGTGGTAGTTTTTGTGTTATGATCAACAAAATACTTCAAACCTTCTGCAGTTCTTTTAATTTCCCAACCAGGTGGTAAAGGATCCTCCAATCTGGAAAAATATAATCCATCTCCTTCAATTCTTAAATGAAGTTAATGCAATGATAGTTTAAAGAATAGTATAATGATAAGCCACATTTTCAAACTGTTCAGGAGAGCATTTCTAGTAAGAAAACATTAAAATGTTTCTGTGTATTGTACTCTTATATAGTAGAAATTCCAGAAACTTGTTTTTGTCTATTTGGCCCAGTTCGTAAAGAAATAGCAAGTAAAAAAAAATATGGCATGTCATTATATTGCCCTAAGACCTTTATAAATATATACAAAAGTCAAGAGATCCTGTCTCCTAGAAAAAACTTACTTGTGTCCCTTTTGAGCCCTTCCTTCTTTTTAAAAAAACTTTAATTTTTTGTTCTAAATAAACCAGAACATTTTTGAAATTTTAATTATACAGATGAGTGAAGTGATTTTAGCTTGCATAATCATATACTTCATACATTAATAGTGGTATGCATTGTATGATATACAAAGTATAGCAGTTAATATAGTACATAATATTATGTAGAATTGCTCTTAAATTTAATTAAATTCTGCACAATATTAATTATTTGTGTTGTATTATTGGAGATTGCATGGTAATTGGATTTCTTGAAAGAAACCTTCAAGAAGCGCTAATCAAAACAAAAGAAAACTTTAAAATAGGACACATACAGTAAAAATATTATAGTTAACAAAGGTAAGATAGTAGTTATATTTCTTAAAATTTTCATGCAATTTTGAAAAACATACAAATATGATACATATATGCTATAAACATTTAGTGTGACGTATTCAGACTTACAAAAATACGGAAGTATGTAGGCAATGATATTTACACAAAACTTGACTCAATTAAAAAAATGTTTCATAACAAGGATGATCTAAAGAGTTACACAAATAAACATCAGAAAGCTGAAAGGTATCATAGATTTATACAGCAGCACCCAACACATTACCATATCAGTGTAATGAATTCAAGTAACTCTTTTTAATCAAGATACAGTAATCTATTTACAAAAACAATTTTCAATATCTAAACTAGCTCATGAATACCTATTTGTTTAAACTAACATCCTTTTTTTTATTAGGAAGACTTGAAATAGATATAAGTAGTAGGATAATTTTCAATTCAAATGAAAACAAACAGTGAATATATTTAAAATTAAAAAAAATAATACCCTTGAGTTCTGGGATCTTCCCACTGAGTAGTTTTATTCTTGTGATTAACAAAGTACACCCTTCCATTGGGATCCACTCTTTTTTCTGTAAAATACAATACAAAATACTTATAAGCACAAAATATTCCCTAAACTTGATAAAAATACCATTTCCCCATGATTTTCAATTCACAGACCGAATCTCAATAACTTCTAGTAAATGTTGCCAAATAATGTTAAATTAAAGTAAAAAGCAAACAATTTTATTTAAAAACTATGTCACAAAAAGGTCACAAAAGAAAGAATAAACAAAGATTATAAAATAATAATAATAATTAATAAATAAACCTTACTTTTGGGATTATTTTGATAAGTTCATTAATGTTATTTTGAAAAGAAAAAAAAAAGTTTAAATTTTTTTTTGTGAATTCTTCACCTTAGAACATTTTTGTTAATGAGGAAAATTAAATTATTAATTAACAAGTTCATTTTAATTCAACAAATACTAAAAAAATAAATAGTAAATGTTCAGACAAAAGATTATTTTTTCATGTATATTTAACCTAAAAAAACAATTAGACAAATAAAAATTACCTCTGTACTATACTTTTAATAGAGAGATAAAAAATTCAGAAAAAGAGTTTTGGAGCGTGAAAAAGAAAAGCTTCTAATAAATTTATCGTGCTCCAACAAGAAGCTGCTTTTTTCAGAGCATAGAAATAAATAACTAAGAACTATCATCAGCAAATGACACTGTTAATTAGAAAATTCTAACAGAAATTACCCCATCCTTCTGGCAAAGGTCCAAGAGGATCATCATCTTCTACTTGCACTGGAGTCTAAGAAATGGCAAAATTTATGGTCAAATAAAGGCACTACTTGTTAAAAGATTATGAGAAAAAAAATTAATTATTAAAATAAAACAATGCATATTTTGATGTTAAATAAGTAAAAAAACAGTGTGTATTTTAAAAAATGTTTATGCAATGTCAAAAATTTTTTTTATTTGTTTTATCATACATCTATAACTAAAATAGCCATGAAGATATAATTAAGATTATTGAACAGAGAAGAAAAATTATTAAAATAAATTTAAAAAAAAAATATTTTTTAAAAAATATTCATATTAAAAAGCCATAAAACAAAAAAATGAAAAGAATTTTAAAATAAATTGNTGAAGCTGAAATGGCATATATATATAAATTTGAAGGTTTTACAAAAATAATTAAAGGTAAGCTAAAAAACAATTTCTGTGTATAAATTTTCTTCAAAAAAAAGTAAACTAAAAAAAAAAAAATTTAACTGATAAACAACTTAAAAGCTTCTTTTTTATATTTTAAAATGAAAACTATGAGAAAATAAACATTTAAATACATATTTTTTTAAAAAAGGATATTTATTTTTTTAAAAAAATTCAAATTATCAAATACCTATTAATATACCCCTCCCCAAAATATAAGTTGTGAATATAGTGGGTTGATCAATATGGGAATTATACACTACATAACTAGACAGCATAAAAAAGATCTTACTAAAGTGAAGCAATGAAATTAAAAAGTGAAATATTTATCAATAGCTAAATAAATCAGAAGTCGACTTTTTATTAAATTAGGTTAATTTTTTTTTTGAAAAATAAAAAAGTAAGTGTTTTTATGGGATGGCTGCTAATTTTTACAAAAAAGGCAGAGAGGATGGGCCATCCCTCTAAGAATGCTTAGGGAGAATACTGTATTTACATATATATATATATATACTGCCACGAAACCACCCATCAGAATGATAATTTCTGCAGCATAAAAAAAAGTTTGTGGTCTGTATTAACAAAAGCTACCAATAAATGGCACGTACAGGCTCATGTTCCTGAATATTACATGGTTGAAATGAAGCATGTTTGCAGACACCCATGAGAGGCAGCCAGTTGTCGAAATAGAAGTGTCGATGAAACGATATTATGCGATTTAATTTCGTGTTTGCCTGCAAAAATCAGCATCGGAGACCTTTGACATGATACGTTAAGCTTTCAACGACGAAGTAATGTCGAGGGCAAGTATTTTTCGCTGGCATAAAGCTTTTAAGAAAGGCAGGCAAAATGTGGAAGATATTGAACGCGAGGGACGACCTTCCACGTCCATCACAATGATTAACACAGCTGTGGCTATCATCAAGGAGGACCACAGGATGACAGTACGTCAAATGTATGCTCTCCTGAATATTCATGCAAGAGGTGATCAGTCAATCATGGCAGAACATTTGCAACTGAAATGTGTTTGTGCGCGATGGATTCCGAAATTGTCGACACACGAGCAAATGCAGCATCGAGTGGATGTGTGCACAGAACGGATGGAAAGACTGGAATAAGAACGTAACAATTTTTAAAACTCATCATCACAGCAGACGAAGCTTGGTTGTACCACTATGATCCAACCATGAAACAACAAAGCAGTAAAAGAAATAATTTTTTTTTTTACTATGAAGGAATTGTGTACCAACACACTGTTGAACCCGTTAATACTGTAAACGGGTCGTACTACGTGCATGTCCTAAGAACAATGGTACAGCACATTTAAAGGAAATGTCCATTGCTCTGAAATGGCTTCCTATTGCACCATGAGAATGCCCGACCACATATTACTCGTTGCGTACAGGATGTTTAACAGCAGAACAATGTAGAGATTTTACCACACCCTCCATATCTATCCCTGATCTCGCTGCATGTGATTTCTGACTGTTTCCTCAACTTAAGAAATCGTTACAAGGCAAACATTTTGCAAGCAACAAAGCATTTGTAAAAGCTGCGTAGGGCGGTTTTTAAAATGCTCTCAAAAACATGTTTTTAAGAAGTGGACAGAAGGTTGGGATAAATGCATTACCAGCCATGGTAGTTATTTTGAAAAAGACCACGTAAATGATAATGATTAAAGATATTCCGTATTTTTTTATAATTTTAGTCTTATTATTTATATACGTATATATAATGGTCTTCATTAGAAAATGAATTAACGATAGTTATTTTAGTATTCTTCAGGTTTTCCATAGCCACTTCAATATTGTAAAAACATCAACATCCCTCTCCTGAAAAGACTTGTTGATTAATATTTTGTTGTTACAAACAAATCTTAAAACTCTCAACTTAGTTTTCTGAAGAAAGAGAAAATAAAAAAGAGGATTAAGGTTGTTGTTTTTTTTATTCGCTTCTGTAATTTTCTCAATTACATGTAATTTGCAGGCTTTGTAGTCAGCCAAAGAAAAATTCAAGACTTTTTTAAAAAAAAGTGAAGATAAAATCAAGACATCTTTTAGAACAGTGTACATACACCAGACTATTTTTTAAAAAATCAAACCAAAAAACAAAAAAAAACTTCTCTACTTAAATTATAATGAAAGCAAATTTTTATAGCTTTGATTAGAATAATAAATTAAAAAAAGGATTTACAGGAAAGAAATCACACAAAAAGATTAATTTAATCTTTTTATGTTATATATATACAGGGTGTTTATAAAGTCCTGGACCCATTTTGATGTTAAACAACTCATAAAATAATAAAGATAGATTAAAATTATTAACATAAATGGTTAGATAGACTCAAAAAGTTTCATGACCCTTGTCAATGAACTTCCAAGTGTGCCCCCTTCGTCGCACGGAAAATATCAAGTCGATAGTCAATTTCACACCAGGTAGCGGCAAGCGTGTCGGCATCCACAGAGGCTATTGCGGTTGTGATTCTGGCTTTTAGGTCATCAATGTTCGACACGATCCTCCTGTAAACATTGTCCTTTATAAATCCCCAAAGAAAAAAGTCCAGCGG